TATTGAAGATAATCTAAACAAATAAGACATTTAAAATAAGATTTTTGTAAGCAAGAGTTATGGTATCCATGCCCACATGCCAAAACAATGCCATTATACAAATCATAAACCCTGTCGCAGTGTATCGAATCGCATAAAACTAATGCGTTGGGCTTTATGGAAGTAACAAAGCCCCTTGGAAGATGACGATCAGTCACATCGTAATCTAGTGAAGGTAGTTGGTATGTATTGATACCATCTTCTAAAGATTTGATAACAGGGTGAAGATTACGATTTCGATACGCTTTTGCAAATAACTCTAAAAGCCGTATAGAGCACTTTTGATAAAGCATATCTAACTGCTTCGGAGTATATGGATACTTCGTAGAATTTACGAAATTTTGACGAAAAGCATTATCGTTTCTTTGCTGAAAAATGGAATGCGCTTCTTTTCGCAACTGATCGGCGGTAAAGAATTTGGAAGTACGCCTTCGAATAATGCAATGTACAATTTCAACTGGAGAATCACTAAGAGAAGCCAAATGGTTAGTAATCATTTCAAACATTGGATGACCAGTCTTCATCTAATAAAAAACATCAGAAAAAAACATTAAAGAAGCACGCTTATAATTCTTTCGATCAAATCGGTGAAAGAGATCACTCCAACAGCGCATATATGCTTCCTCATAAGCTGGCCAGTTTCCTTCGTGATGGTGTACGGCATAAACGTCGAGAACTAGAGGAATTAAATTATCTAGTAAATCGGTTAGATATAAAAATTCTATATTCTTACACGTATAACCAAATTTTGAACGAACTATATCAGCAATATTAGAACACGCCATACACACGATATGGAGAATTAAATCAATTCTCCATGGCCGTGGTGTCTTACCAATATTTTTTTTTACACCAAAAATATTCTTGTATATATCAATAAATAAAAGTGAATTCTTTTTATATACAAGCTCACGACCATTCAAGGATACGTGAAGAGGCCCCATAATAGGTAAGAACGACGTAACAAAAGGAGGAACAGATTCGTTGTTAAGGAGAAGTCGTTGAGCGATAGCTTTACGAATGAAAAACTGACCCGGCCAATCAGCAACTATAGGAACCGCACAATTGGAAAGATATAGCTGCATCGACTCTTGATTGTGTACAGTACGAAGAGCCTCCAGGTATCTCTCTATACCTTTCAAGTCTTTCTCAATAAAATCGATGAGAATAGAGTTACGTATATGCCGATCGTTTTTCTTCTCTATGAGCCTATCATTATAACTATGTAATACTAAATTATCTATTATCTCTTCATCAGTATATACTTTAGTACTTTGCATGCAAGAATACGAAATACCAAGATTTACAATAAAACGTGTGTTAATATGTTTTATAATCAAACCTTTATCAATAAACCTCGGATTAATGACTCTATGAGACGGAATTGCTGGTATTAAGGACGGATTTACCAAAATTGTCGCCATATGTGTTGGCCTAGAAGTACTAGTGGTGTCAGGTCGGTGTGGAACATGAATATTGTGATAGTCGTCTACGTTTAGCACGAGTGCATTGTTCAAATGCTGTGAAAGTGCACTCTCCGTATTTTTTTCATGCTCATTGGATATTCTTCTCTTTCTCTCATTTACTGTCTTTGATGTCGTAGCAACACCAAGATTCACCATTGTATTCAAGCCTTCTTTACTTGTTCCCGCTGAATCTAAATAAAATGCTAGATCAAGCTTAAAGGAATTAATTCTCGTGTTATTTAAGGATGCGAGAAGATAACATATTAAAACCATCAATCTCTTCATGTGGTCCATCGTTTGCTCATTACGTTCACCTGGCCGAGCTGCAGAATAAAGTTGAATAAAAAAATCTTCAAGAGTTAGGTCAGTTTTTTGAAATAATTCACGCATCTCATCAAAAACATATATAGGGTCTTCCTTTTTTACATGCTCTCTCTCATAAAAAATTTTGGCTATAGACTTAATAGCCTTAATAAGATTGATCTTACTCAAATCGCTTACCTCCTCTAACATACTTGCCTCCTCTACCTCAGCTGTAGGTTGATCTTTAACGATTCTTGCTTTCTTGGGATCTCTGCTTAATGGGTTTTGTACTAACTCCATGTAACAAGAATTATATAAAATAATACCTTCTACCCACGTTTCCTTTACCAACCCATTATTTTTAGCTTCGTTCCACTTTTTATCTTTTAACGCACGGAATTTACAAGATTCGGTGGCTTGGCAGTTAATGCATTCCTTCATTTTATATAGATCTTTTAAGGGCAAAACTATATATAAAGGTTATGGGATTCACTGGGATTCAACTGATATTTTTAAACTACTGTATGAAAGCTTCAAGTTTACTTAAAACTACCCTACGTTTCAAAGTAGATTAAGTAACGTGAGCTCTTTGAAAAAATACTCTAAAACAATATAAAAAAATTTTTTATGAATTGTGTAACCGATCTACAAATGATGTGACGGTTCCCCCTGTTGCTTATATGTATAATCTGTTACACAAACCCGATCTGAGCCAATCAAATCGATTTATATTACCTGTTAAAACCGATATCTTATAGATATCTGATCTTGTTGGTATCGATTATCAGGTTGTCGGGTTTTAATCATAGAATGGACATGGTGGATCAATTTTTGGTTATAGCAGGTTATCGGTTTTGACAGGATCGGTTTTGGGAGGGTGTACTGTAATTTTTTTATTAGATTGTCTGTTCTTTGTGTTTAAGACTTTTTCTTATGTCACTTAATTCATCAATTTTATGTTTACCATTTGAGTCTTGCTTAAGTCAATGATGGCATGTGTTTGAATTCGAACTTGTCAAACTGAGGCTTATAAAAGATATAGGTTTATAAATAAGAAGTTCTAAAAAGTCAAAAATAAGCGAGGTTGTGGTTATATGATATGACCTTTTTAGTGTTTATATAAAATGAATCAAAACAATTGCGCAATAAAATGTGATATCATATAACTTAGCTCCCGATTGTTTGCGATGTCAGAATCATCAATTCAAATTAGTTTGATTAAAAATGGACGTAGAAAGAAAATTAATGCAAAAATAATCAAATGAGATCGAGAATCTTTGCTTTATTATATTGGCTGCTAAACAGTTATTGTCCTTCGCTTCGCTTACCTTGATTTTACTAGGACTATGACAGGGCCATGAATATCTTTATTTGGGTATCAGCAAAAAATTTGGAAATTTTTGGATTTGACCGGCATTATGATATTAATTATAACTTAGGCATGTCACGTTGGGGATCGACGTATACTATGTATATACTGGCTTTACTTATTTGTGCCGGTAATACAAACCAAAAAAGGGGGTCGTCTAAAGCCGTGTCCAATCACGTGACACATAACCAATAAAATTGTTTATTTTGATCGGCCCGAAGAGGAAAAAACAGCGAAAAAAAGTGAAAAACAAGAAACGAATGTCTAAATCTATCTTGGGGCATTAATAAAAATGTCGGGAAGACAATTTTACTATAAGACAAGCCCTGACCCTAACCCCAGATTAACTCTTACCCTAATTTTAATTAAAAAGTCAAAAACATATGACTGGACACGGCTTTAGACATCCCCCAAAAAAGGAAACGGAGTGAAGTTTGTAAATATTAGGGTTAGACCAAGCTGAGATGGGATTCGGGATTTTTCAGGATAATCCCGATTTGTCCATGAATTTTTTGTTCTCGGAGATTTCCCTTGATGTTTCCAAATTTTGATTGTGGATCGTCATCAGGATTATCAACCAGTTAAATTGACTTGCTATAACGTCTAATGATTTTTTTTTTCAAGAATCTAAGAACATAATGGCAAAAGGAACAAGAAACTTACTTTTGTGTATTGGACTTTTTTTTCATGTGACGTATATATGGAGTATTTTCGACATATACTTTACGTCACCTTTGGTACATGGTATGACCCCACATAAGGTAAAAAAACCTATAGCTCGACTTTTACTTCTAAACTTAAAGTTATTTACAGTTTTCGGATTAGGTTGATTTACCACCACCCGCGCGAAGACTTGTACTCTTTGTTGGTAAGCTTCTATTAAATTTTAATTTTTCTCTCCCACTTACGTGAAATTTAGTATTATTGTCTCTAACTACTAATTAACCCTGCATAGGTGACGGTTTAAGAGCGGATAAATTATATCAATTATATCAAGATGAGAACAACAGTAGTCTATATACAAGAGCTCCTTTTTTAAGAGATATGGTGCTTAATCATGGAACATGGGGGGTTTCTCATACGAGGGTACCTACAGAATCAAGACCGGGTCATGTTGCAATAATTGCAGGATTTTATGAAGATGTTAGTGCCGTTACGAAAGGTTTGATAACTGTATCAATAATCAATATAATAAATTAATTTGTAATTTTATCTGATTATTCATTTATTTTTTGCATAGGTTGGAAAATGAATCCTGTAGAGTTTGATTCTGTATTTAATCAAAGTAGACATACATGGTCATTTGGTTCACCAGATATATTGCCTATGTTTGCTGAGGGTGCCTCAGATCCAGAAAGAGTTGACACTTTTATGTATGGACATGAAAGCGAAAACTTTGCCGAAGGTAGCTTCTCAATTTCATATTTTTGTCATATATATATATATATATATATATATATATATATTTTAATATATGTATTTCTTATTTAGATGCTGCTGAATTGGATACGTGGACATTCAATAAATTCGCCCAACTTATTTCAAATTCATCATCTGATCTCAAACTTTATCAACAACTACATGATGATAAAATTGTTATATTTTTGCATTTGCTTGGATTGGATACAAATGGGCATGCTTATGGTCCTCATTCTAAAGAATATTTAGATAATATTAAAGTTGTTGATGATGGAATTTACAAAACTATACAATTACTTGATGAATTTTACGGAAACGATATGAAAACTGCTTATATTTTTACTTCTGATCATGGAATGAGCAATAGAGGTAAACAAATTATAATTAGAAGAACTATGATATTAAATTAGTTGATTATTTGGTTCTAATTTACATTATAACCAGGTAACCACGGTGATGGACATCCGGATAATACACGTACTCCAATAGTGGCCTGGGGTGCGGGTATAAATAAACCCAACAAGGATCATCCGACTGGTCATGATGAATTTTCAATGGATTGGCAACTTAATAGTGTTCAACGTAATGATATACTTCAAGCTGATATTGCCCCTTTAATGGTAATCTCTAATATGAGTCAATTATTTATCAAAGCTGTTATGATTTTATAGTATTAAAATCTAATGAATATAAAATTTTAAAGGCTTCTTTAATAGGGATCAATTATCCTGTAAATTCTGTTGGTGAATTACCTTTGAAATATCTTAATAACACTCCATTGTTCAAAGTTCAAAGTGTTTTTGTAAATGCTAAAGAAATTTTGGAGCAATACCAAGTTAAATACGGTTAGCTAGTGGCCCTGTTAGTTTATCTTCAAAATTGTTTGTTTCTTATTGTTAAGACTTTTCTTTTGTTAATTTATTTATTTTCTTTAGAATCAAAAAAACGTACAAAGCTAATGTTCAAATCATTTGCTCCTCTGAGCAATTCTACACATTCTCCTGATGTTTTTATAAACGATATTCAGCGCCTTATAGACACCGAAAAATATGCAGAAGCAGAAACTTTGTGTAGAATATTAATTAGCCTGTGCTTGGAAGGATTGAGATATTTCCAAACGTGTGTGATTTTTTTTTTTTTTAAATTAAACTGCTTGACTTAGACTATTATAATAATATACTTCAATATGTTTAATTTCCAGATATGATTGGTTCATGCTAAGGTCTATAGTTACGGCTGGATATGTTGGATGGATTGTATATAGCTTGAAATTTACGCTCAAAGAATATACGTTTAATGACAGCACACAATCCATTGTAGCAAGCAATGATCCATATAATTTGCTAGTATGTTATTCTATTTTATTTTATTTTTTATATAAATTTGAGATTTCCTTACTTACTTTTTTGATTATTAGATCAACATTATTTCTGTAATTTCCCTAGCGCTGCTAATTTGCATTCTTTATGTTGAAGAATCGCCTATAACATATTACACCTATGTAATATTTCCTATATATTTTTGGAGAGATGTCATAAAAGAGCGCAATATAATTTTAGATTGCTGTAAATCTGCATTGGATAATCAGAGCATCTTCACATTAATAATATACATTATTGGATATATTATAGGATTAGAAATTTTGGCAAGTCTTATATCCACCGTTTATATGGTTTATTAAAGTGTTGTGTGAAAATATTAACTTTTTTTGCATACAGGTTTATAGCTATTTTGAACGTAGTGTATTAAGTGTTTGTTTTATACTAGCAGCATCATATCCATGGTTTATTTCATCAAAAATATGGAATGGGAATTCGACATGGTTTTTCGCATGGACAATTTCATGCCTATTTACTAGTATTTTCACATTGTTACCAGTAGAAAAAGGAGAGGACATTACATTAGTGTATATATATTATTATCATTTATTGCTATCTTTTATTAATTTATATTTTAAACATATTTAATAACATTTATTCGTTATTTAGGGTTCTTGGTGGATTATTGATCGTTATTACAGGATGTATTGCTCTGTGGAAAAGTCCTAAATTTACGATTGGATCACATACCAGTGTAAGAAATATGATTGGATTTCAGGTGAGATGAATTTAAATATGTATATATCTTAAAATTATGTGAATTGAATTTAACATGGCAGCTGATGCCGAAGTTGGCTGATGCTGAAATTTGGGATCCTATTTAAATTTACAAACCTACTAAAATCTACTTATATAATTCTAACTCTATATCCTAAGTTACCCCAAAAAAGATTAAAAAGTGTATCCCTAAAAAAAGTGAAATTTTTATAATTAAATAGGTCCAAATTTCAGCTTCAGTTCAGTTACCATAATTAACTATATATCTAACAAGCAAATCGTATAGGTTGGATTGGTTGTATTAAGCATAATAGTTGTATATGATACTACCAATAAACTAAAAGATAAGGCTGGACTACCTTTCTTAAATCAAATTATTGCGTGGATAATTTTAGGTAAGTTAATTCTGCGATTCTTTAAAATTCAATAGTCTATTCATCTATATTATTTTTATGTAGTTATTTCAACTGCAACTCCATTTGTTTATGGACTTGGAAAACAACATTATTTTCAACGTTTGACCACTATATCACTTTCATTTGCTCCATTATTTGTAATACTGAGTATTTCGTATGAAGTATTATTTTACTATTTCTTAACAATAACGTTGATGATATGGCATCAAATCGAATATTTATTATTTATTACTTCACATCCTACGCTAACTTTATCCCACAAAGGGCAAACCCGCAAATTAGAGATTGAAGATATTCGAATAGCTCTAGTATTTTTGTTTTTCATTAATGTAGCATTTTTTGGTACAGGAAATATTGCAAGTTTAAGTAGTTTTTCTTTACAAAGTGTATACAGATTAACCACCGTCTTTGAACCATTTTTAATGGGTGCATTACTAATATTTAAAATATTAATCCCATTTTTTATCGTTTCTTCAGTATTCGGGGTTATTAACAAATCGTTAAATTTACCACCATTCAGTTTATTTTTATTAGTTCTTTCGACGTCAGATATTATGACATTGAACTTTTTTTACTTGGTTAGAGATTATGGAAGTTGGTTGGAAATTGGAACTACTATAAGTCACTTTGTCATTAGTTCACTTTTTTCACTATTTATGATATTATTGTTTTTATTGAGCGAATTATTTGTTGGTGAGGCGATTGTTGATTTTAGAAAGATTACAGATGAAAAAGATGAAAAGAAGATAAAATAAAAATAAAATTTATCAACGTCTGGGGGTGAAGGGAGACACTAAATAGCGAATTGAAATATCATTGAGTGGATGTGACCATCAGAATCATTATCCTAGTATCGTTCAATACGTCTCACAGTGATGAATCAATTATACAAAATCGATTAATGATATTCTTATTATAAAACTTGCCATTTAGTTATTATTTTTTGGGCGCAGAAATTTGACATTATAGTCAGAAACATAGAATTTTTTAATAAATCATTATAATTTTTTTTTTTATTCGATTATTTGTCATGTGAGACTGGTTATTGGTTGCTTTCGGAATCATCTGTTGTACTGTAAAGCTTTTCAAAACTTTTCCTTATAGTCATGTGACAGAGAATCTTCTAGAAAATGGCATAAATATCGCAATCCAAAATTTGCAATAAAAACAAATTTCCAGTTTTTTAATCAGAGAACACGAAACAAAGTTAATCAGGAACATTCATTTCAACAATGCAAGTGGTTCATGACATATCAGAGTTTCAGGATGGAGAAGAACGTATTTTAGTTTTAAAAGATTCTTCTATACTTGAAAATGAAGGTATGAATCACTCTTATTTTTTTTATTTTGATAAATTGAAAATGCGAAACTAAAAAAAAAAAAATCTTAACAGAGGAAGGAGATCAATTGGTCTCAATACAGATAGAGGAGCAACAAAGACTCAAAAAGAACCTAGAAAACAAAAAAAAGAAACCAGTTTATACTGGCTATGACGACGAAGAATTTAATTTTGGAGGTGGTGTAACTAAAAAGAGCATTTTGTCACATTACGATGAAGAAATAGAGAAAGATAAAAGAACTGTATTTATTCGTTTATTTCCATTGCAATTGAAGACTTTGTCAATTCGATAGTTTTCTAAGAGTTCATTATATTTTTAGGGATTTATGCTAGACGGTGACGGCACAGTTAAATTGAGTGAAGATGATTTACGAAACCAAGTGTCTGAAAAACTAAGGTCAAATGCTGTTTCTCTATCTTTTGACAGTACGTTTCATTAATTTAAATTAAATTTTAATTTTTATTTTTTTTTTGATATATTAAGTTTATAAATCTAAGTAAATTATATTAAATTCATTTTATTGATATATAGAAATGAAAGAGATTCAGGATTATTACACCAAAGAAGAAGCAGAAATCACTTTTAAGAAGCCTAAAGTATGTATTTAGTTGCATTGGTTTATTGTAATAAATGCCACATTTTTTATTAACCAAATTAACCAACAGGTTCACGCATACTAGGTCAAAAAGAAGAAAAAAGTCCGACAGAAGACTGTAGATAATGATTCATTGATAACCGAAAATCAAGTCAATGATCCTAACTCAATGGAAATAGATTCAACATCATCTCTTACGACCACACAGAGTAGAAGGCGAGAAAATCTGGATGACGTGAGTTTTGTTGATGATGATGAACTCCAACAAGCTCTAGCCAGAGCAAGAAAAATGGCCGCCAAAAAAGTAGCGAAAGCTTCAGTGGAAGAAATTGCAAGAACTTGTGTGTATTTCTTTAAATATTTCAGTAATTAATTAATTAATTATTTATTTATATACCTATTTATTTAAAATGTAAACCTATTATTATCGCACAGTGACACAAGAACGAGAAACGCAGGAGGAAGACGATGATGTGCCTGATAGTGGATTGGTGATTTCAGACACATCAGAATTTGTTCGATCTCTGTCAGTGGCTTCAACAGCATCAAAATTTATAGAAAGTGATAATCTAGCATCTGATAATCGACTCACTAATCAAACCGAAGATGAAAAGCCTGAGGAGGAGGAAGAAGAAGAAGAAGAAGAAACTACTGACGTGAAAATGGAAGAAGCTACTGAAGAAGACGAAAATGGTGGCTGGAAAGTAGCCGGCGTAGTTGAAGACCAGGACATGGCCAGCATTAATGAGGAACCAAAACTGGTATGCAAAATTTTCATGGTTCAAATGTACATATTAATAAAATATATATAGGGATTGTTACAAAAATGATATAAACATAATTTTTATTTCTCAAGGTTGGCGTAGTCGAAGAAGAACCACTGGTCAGTAATGGAATGGCAGCAACATTAGCTCTTTTACAGCAAAAAGGTGCAATATAAATTTATTTATTTAATATGCTATGATAAACCTTAAGTTATAATTATTGATCACATTTCTGTACAGGATTCTCAATCAAGCCAACTGAAGAACAGCTTGAAAAAGAGCGTATTCAAAAAGAAAGACAAAAATGGCTTGCTGAACAGCGTAGAAGAGATCTTGAAAGGCAAAATGAGAGAGAACGTGAAAAGCAAAGAGCCAAAGAAAAGGGCTACCGTGGAGGAGGGGGCGGTCGAGATAATGACAGTAGTTATCGCGATCGTGAGCATCTTAGAGAAATGGAAGCGAGATTTAAAGATTATAAACCGGACATTAATTTGGAGTATGTTGATGAGTTTGGTAATCAATTAACACCTAAAGAGGTTAGTAATTATTTATTTTAATGTAATCTCGAAATAACAGGCATGTACGTTATTTCGAAACCGAATCATTAAACTATTTAAACTGGCGTTATTTAATTTTAAAATAACGCCCATGGGCGTTCTATAATAACGCACACTTCATACAATATCAGCGGATTTATATAATAATAATCAAGCTCAGAAAGATGGTGAAATAACGCACAAGTGATCAAAATAACGTGCGGATGCCTGTCTTTTCGAGATTTTACGGTACTTAAATATAATTTTATCTATTTTACCTATTTAACATTATTTTTATAGGCATTCCGTCAATTATCTCATAAATTCCATGGAAAGTCGTCTGGAAAATCTAAAACTGAGAAACGTCTCAAGAAACTTGAAGAAGAACGCAAATTAAAAGCGATGAGCAGTGTTGACACACCGTTGAACATGGCAACCGCTTTGCAAGAGAGACAAAAAGCTAGTGGAAGTGCACATGTTGTTTTGTCTGTCGGTAATAGAGCGTGAGTATTTATTTTGATAAAATGTCTTTGTTAGCGATTGAGCTTAACTAATTTCGAAATTCTTTAGTGTTGTTCCAAATAGCATGATGCCAAACAATGATACCAGAGCCTCTAAATCAGTTCCTAGTGTTTTATCAACCAATGGTCCTAATATCATTACGGTTAACGGCGGGTTAACAGGCCAAAGCATGAATGCACCAGAGAGAGAAAAGGTGAGAGTTCTTTAGCATTTTCATACATTTTACGTAGTTTGAATAAGACACTGAAATTATATAAATTATTTTAAGGTAACATTCGGGCTAAAACGTAAAGCCGAAGCCGAGACTGAAAAACCATCAAAAAAATCCAAAGATGAATAGCTACTATATAGTCGGTTGGGCTTACATTAGTCAGACCGAATCAACTTTTAGGTTTTATGGGCCGAACTAATTCGTGGCTCTAATTTAAAGTGATATCAAATATATTAATTTGGTTATTGCATTATTACATGTTACAATTAGGTGTTCAATAAAAATATATAAAGTTAATAAAGTTTTAAATAATTTTTTTTTTTTTTTTTTAAAGCAAACATAAACTTGTACTGTACCTGCTATTGATTCCGTTAACTTATCAAAATAATAGCATAACGATAATAAGCAGGTATTTTACGCGTTGATTAATACGTTGCAATTTCCATACATTGCAATATAAAACCTCAATACGCGAGTATATACTGACTAAAACTGATAGATAATTCAAAAAATAGTTATATTCAAAATATTTACTGTCTAGCTAAAATTTATTTTATCTAATATTTTGTCAAATCTTTTTACAATGTAAAATAAAATCATCTAATATACCCATCAAAACTATGAATAAACATCTGACGTTCTTCTAGAACCTCTGTTTTTTTCTCTTTCAATCCATCGTTTTCTACAATCTGAAATACCTCATAATCTTCAGCAATAAAATTCGATTTGCCTGTCAAGATTTCATTACTATAACTTGTCTTTCGACAATTCCAACTTTGATCTACCATATGCAAATCGTTTTGACCAAAGCATGGGCCATAACTATGCGAAAAATAAATAGCTTCATCATCCAATGATTCGTTTATTCTTGATAAAGTTGCCGTTGTCGGATTATGTGTATCGTTAAATGAAAATATAAATGAATCCAAAGTCGAGCCAAACTTCTTGAAAGACCTATGAGTACCGACAGATGCACCGTGAGAATTTTCCGAAAAATTTGAAAAATTCCATTTAATCGGATTATATCCACCAACAATTTGACTAGAATCTTTAACCTTAGCCAACACCAAAGTACGAGCCACAGAATCACATCGGTTGTGAAAAACGTCGATACCAAAACCATCTCTACTAGCTCTAACCAAAAGATTAAATTTATAAGGATTTTTTCTCTTAAGATTTAATTTTTTATCTTTTCTATCAATCCAATTTGAAATCAAAGTAGCATGACGACCATCAATAAGAACAGAATCAATTGGTTCAGAAGAAATGTTTCTAGGTAAAAATACATTATGTACTCTACTATCAGGATCTAAATAAAATTGAAGAATTTGTTCTTCAACTGAAGAAGGAAGTAATTTTCTAAATGGTTTACGAATTTTATGAAAGAAATCATTCGAAGAAATAAGAGCAAATCTAATTAAAGGAATACATCTATGTAAAGTAAATTCTAAATCTTCAAAATCTTTATCAGACCAACTTGATACATTATCATGTAATTTTGATTGAGGAGTATTAGCAATTCCCCATTTAATTACATGATCCCAAATTTTAATTTCATCCCAAATTAAATCATCTCTTTTTAATAAATAAAGTAATACAGATTCTTCAAGATTTAAGAAATCTTTAGATTCAAATAAAATTTGTGGAGACGCACAAACAGTTTTTAAAGTATAATCACGAAGTTTTCCAAAAGTACCATGATGACATACTATATGAAGAATTGGTACTAAAGTTTGATTTATCCATTCAGTTTGAGTTTTGATTAAATAATCTTGAGCATGTGAGATTAAAATTGGAAGTTGTAATTCATCACTAGCTAACATTAATCGTAATAAATCAGCACCATCGAGTTGATCCAATTCTATAACTCCACTATATATATACCTATAAATATATGGAGTTATAATTAATGATAAAATCAAATATATATGCATATTATCTGTTATGTACTGTACGTACGTATGTGTAATACTGTACGTATAAGTAGGTAAATTTTAATTCTTTTATAATAATACATACTTTAATATTATTTCAAAGATTCCAGAAGGAATATTTGGTTTTCTGAATACTATAATATCACCAGATTTTCTTGGCCAATCATTCGATAAGGCTGATCTAAAATATCCACAACGAGCACGAAGCAATACAGAATGAGCTTTAAATTCTTTATGATTTGTTGGATCTCCAGCTTGGATAATTACGTTATAATCTTCTGCTTTATCTAATAATTCAAATAAATCATTTGAAAGTTCTTGTAAAAATGTTGATTTCATTTTTTTTTTTTTTTTTTTTTTCTCTAGATAAAAGAAAAAAATAGCGATAAATTGAAATGTTTTTTTAGTTCTTTGATATATATATTTATTTAAATTTTAACCAATCATAGCTAATGCCAATCTCATAACTTGGATCACGCTTTTTACATAACATTATTTGATGTGCAAGATTTGGAATGCTGCAAAATATATTATGTATCGTACGTATGCACGTACGTACGTACCTAGGTCTATATATCGATAATATCGATACGAATAAATAAGAGAATAAGCGTAAAAAAAGCAACTACGGAACACGTATGTAAGTACATACCTAGCTATTTATGTTACCTTAACCAGGGAACTCTAAATGAACGCTTCATAGCATATTTCATCAATACATTAAAATTAATATAAAACGTAATTTCACATGTTTAACAGAGAAATTTAAGGTGCGGTTACCTACATTAACGCTTTGATAAACCAAAATTAACTGAATTTTATAAAAATCATATATGCATTTGAATCATCGATTAAGTCTAAAATGCAAAGTTGCGCCTCATTCATTATTATCGAGACAAAAATAATCGAGTGCAAGCTATTGCAGACTTTATATTTACAAGTGTAGTAATCTTATTCTCTCACTTGATCAGAATAATACAAAAGTATAGTCCATCACTCGGTCTTTTTTTCCGAAAAGACAATAGTCTTGGATAAATCCATGCTACTTTATGATAATAGAATATTAATTAGATTTATCGCGTACTGAGGCATGCATCTAAAATAAAGATTGATTGGCTTACCTGATACTTGATCTCATTATACGATTGTAAGGCGTTAAAATAACCTTGAATATAAAGGATTTGAAGACAAGAGGTTTCATTTATCATTTCGGATGTTATGTATTCGAAGAAATTAACCAGATTAATAACCTACCATATCAATTTGTTGAACATAGTTCGATGTTATCATTTAAATGTGCATTATCAAACATCTTCAACGAGCAAAAAAAAATCTTGAGACAACATATACATGCATATACGCAATATATTTGGTTAAATTTCTTCTGGAAAAAAATAAAATGAATGTTTCGAATATTTTTAGTGGCGTAATATAAACTTCGCGTAATACCAAACTTGACGTTTTATATATGATTTGAATGCATATATATGCTACGATATTGTGTTAAGATCGTCATGTACATGCATATTTTATCCTTTAAAAGGCCAATTTGGAGTATTTATGCGTGTAAAGCTTATATAAAGAATTGTGGTGATCGATGCTAGCCTGTTAATTACGGATTTTTTCATGTGGTTTAGATATGTAAAGAAGATGGAGTTTCAATCATTCTGATAATCCGACTAATATCTGCTTACCATGTCAAATCTTTAAGAGAAGTGGTACAGTACACGGATATTCACTCACAGCGTATTATCGACTACTCGCTTTAATAGCTCATATTTGCAATTGCTTAACGAATTACAATCTGTCACGCGTTTTTAAAATGATAAAACTTGACACTGTTAATTGTATAAAACGAATTAAATTTTAAATTTTTTTTGATGTAAAACACAATAATTTTTTTTTTTTTATAACGAATTTTTTCAATAAAAAAATATATATATAATAGTTTACAAACCTACCGCAAAATAAGGAAAATAAACACAATACCCCTACCCTACTTTTTTCAATTTCAAATTAACGGTAATAACATGAGTAAAATTTTATTGTTATTGCCGCTAATATGAAATTGAAAAAAGTAGGTAGAGGGTGCTGTGCTTATTTTCCTCGTTTTACGGTATTAGTCATTCAGCAAATACTCGAATATATAAATATGTATATATTTACTTAAATAATTTGAATAGAAGATTTTAAGATCATACAAATTAATTTAAACCTTCCTATCGCTATTGCTGTATTAAGATAACTAAGTTACCGTATAGGATAACTTATATGTGCGGATCAAATCTGCTAAAAGTTGCACGTGCACGTTGCTGTATTTCAGGACGCGTATGGGCGTTATTTGAACCAGATACTGTAATTCCGTATGATAGTTTTAAACAATAGGATTTTCGAAATACCGTTCACAAACGTTATTTCGCGGCTGTACGGTATATTTCTTTCATCAACTGTGTATCTATCGATATTGAAAAATGTGAATCAAATATTATAATTTTATAATTCTATTACTATCAAAAGATTAACTTTGTTCGAAACTATTCTATTAAGTTCATAAGAGGTACAATTGAGACTTTTAATACCTTATTAAACTGTATTGTTGCAACTGAAAAAAATCGCAAGTCTGGGAGTCAAAACTAATAATATCATTGGAACATTTATTATTATAAAATTTCATCGGAAGGCTCTGAAATCCCGTTGAAAGTAAAAAAAATCGACAATGCTATAATCTGTAAGTTATTGAGATTTGAATTGGATCTTTATGTATCATTCGGTTCTTTAACTATATACACTTTTAAATATAGAATCAGAATCTCAATACAATGATAAAACAATATTCAAATTATAAATCAATTTTTCATTACGAACGAAATCGAATTTTACATGTCAAATTCATAGTAACAATTTTTGTGATAAAATGTTCAAAGACAAATATGAATAACACGTTAAGATAAAAATAAAATATGGGTAATAAAAAATAAGCTCATAAATTTAGTAAGGATTAAAAGGCTCAAATATTTCTTGAAGATTATTAGAAATTCAACATAATAGTATTTGGCTGCACTTTGGTAACATGCTCTGCTCCGAACTTTTCTACTAAATGATCACCCAACTTTTCGAATTTTTCTATAGTGCATGTTTTACCCACAAGAAATTTGAACTGTTTTGTCTTATTGGCTAGCTTTGTTGAAGTGAATATTTCAAGAAAATTGTCAAATGCCTTATCTTCAGTAAGGAGTTTATCACGTATTTCAAAAACCAATCCAGATGAACCTTCTTCACTACTTTCGTTATTATCTCCGTCATAGATCTTGACGTATTCTTCTAATTGAGCTTGTCCCTCTGGATTAGCATCCAATTTGTCCATAAACAATTTTCCCAAAATACCCATAACTGAGGCACCTGCTGCTCCCGATCCGATAGTTGCTCCTGCAGTTAGTCCTGCCGCACCAACTGATTGTAGAATAGCTACAAGGCTACCTGCAGCAGTTGCACCACCTTGCAACGACATCAGCCATGCTGCAAATGATCCGGCTGCGATGCCACCTGCGCCGAATCCAATCGCTTGTACAATGCCCACAATTGCTATTGGAGTAAATACAAGACCACCAATAGTAATTGCTCCGATAGCTACAATATTTTTATTGTCTACAATAAAATCTTTTGCCTTTTCTAGAAAGGTTGGAGGTTTTGCAAATAAACTTTTTGCATTTTTTAGAAAGGTTTGAGGTGTAGGTGGTGCTGGTGCTGGTGGTGATGGCGATGGTGCTGATGGTGATAGTAATGCTGGCGCTGGTGCTGGTGGTGATGGCGATGGTTCTAGTGCTGATGGTGATAATAGTGCTGGTGCTGGTGGTGATGGTGCTGGTGCTGGTGGTGAATTGGAGGATACATACCCCTGTTTTTGAAAAGAGTCAAGAAGAGCACCTTTAAAGAGTTTCGAGTCTGGAATTTGTTCCATTTTTTCTTTTTTTTTTTTTAAGAGTAATCGTGAAATAAAATAATCAAAGGTATTCTACTGTCGCTATTTATAATATCAAAATGTAATTGTGTCCATTTTTGGTTTTATGGAATCATAAAAAACAACCTATCCTTGTTTGTGCGTGATACAAATCTGAGAGTAAACCTAATACAAAAAAAAGTGAAAATAAAGATTATCGATTATATATACGCATATACAGATTTTTTTCTGTATAGAACGAATTCGGCATGTATATTCTCTCTTATAACAGGTAAAACAAAATAAACCTTTTTTACAAGTATTTTTTCAAAAGTTTTGGTGTGTTATGCAACTTTCCAAATTTTCTGTTATCTAAATTTTATCCTTATCTCTTCACATGTAATTTAAACGGTTGGAAAATGTTTAGAAGATACTTAAAAAGGTTGCATACTACACCAAGAATTTTCGAAATATTTGGCGTTTGGTGATATAAATATATTTATTACACGGCTCCTAATTGTTCGCTCATGACTTTTTTTATTGATATTTTTATAGCTTATATTCTCATGGCTAATATTCCCACGGTTGATATTTTCACGGCCGATATTTTCATGGCTGATATTTTCACGGCTAATATTTTTACAACTAATTTTTTATAGCTAATAATTTTAAGTTTTTTTTTAAAAATTCTCATGTATTACGCGTAATTATGGCTTTTTGACTTTATTATTTTTTTAATAATGTTTAGAAGAAATTTATAAAACTTTAGATTGCCTATTAATATCTTCGATCAGTTATATTAATTATGTTTATTTAATAAAGATGCAAATTTCAATTTATATTAATTATGCGAATATTTCTAATTTGTATACCAAATAAGTAATAAAACTACTACTTTTGAATATGAAAAGTAACATTTGAGAAAGTACAATTATTAAATATAGGTGTTTTAGAAAAATCTATATCAATATTATTTGAATTTGAATTTGAAGTAATTTCTTGAAATGGGGCCCAAGATTCTGAATTGCTATTAGATATACCTTCAATAAGACTAATTAAAGTATTCAATATATGCAATTGTTGATCTTTATTGACTTTCTTATATGCATGAATTCCTTGAATGCTTTTGTATCCTGTAAGTTCCATAATTGCTTGTTCAGGAATATCATAATCTTGTAAGCATTGTGCAGCAGTTTTGCATCCAGAATAATTTGAAAGTAATTCAATAGGAATATCAATTTTTGTAATACATCCAATTTCCTGCATGAATTTCATTAATTTATTTTTACTACATTTTTTTTTTTATACCAAATGTCTGTATCTGACCATTTTGGTTCTGGTCATAAATAAAAGCTTGAATCAGCTAAATCAGGTTGTTTTGACAAATAAAACCAAAGATCATCACATGGTCCATTATTATCATATGAAATTGAAATTATATGAGCTTGACTTTTTTGAAGTCCATGCTGATTATTCTTTGAAATATAATGAAAAAATTGAAAACCACCATGCCCATTAGGTTTGAATTGTTCCAATTTAAGTTCATAATGTTCTCCTCCACACATTGCAAGAATAATTGATAAGCAAAAAAAAATTTGATATAATAGACTTTTAGGATTATTATGGCTTATCATTGAATGCTGTAATATTTCTTGAACTTGATGGAAATTAAGAGCAGCAGATCCAGAAATTTCTCCAAATCCACGTTCTTGGAGATCTTGCATTTTGCCATTTAAAACATTATGAAGATCAGGAAACATATATTGATCAAGTAAGTTAACTTTTGAAATAGGCGAATTATAAAGGAGATATTGGCTAAGTGCATCAACAGCTTGTTTTACTGAATTTACCTTATATTCACTTTCATCTTTTTTTTTCATTGCAGAAATAAATTTGACAATTTGACTTTCAAGTTGCTTAATATCATTAAGAATAGTCAAAGGAGTTAAGTAATTAGAGTTAGTACGAAACTCTTCAAATCTTTTCATCCAATTTTTAGTTGATAGTTCAGTATTCTTATTTTTTGCTTTTGTACGATAATATTCAGCTTTAGCTTGTGCTTCACTAATATTAGGCATATAGTAGTAGATATAGTAGATGTGGTAGGCATAGTAAGTGTAGTTGAATATTCTGAAAAATTTTCTTCTAATACTAGCCTTGCACTCTTAAAACCCAGGCTTGAAATATTGGTAACATCGAATTTAGGAAGCTTTTTTTTGGTTCAATTTTTTTTTTTTAAAAAAAAAAAGATGAATATGTAAAAGAAGGTTGTTAATCGCCATGAGAATAAAAGCTATAAAAGATTAATAAAAAAAAGTTATGAGCGTTAGGATCCGTGTAATAACTATTACATATTATACAATTAACAATTAATTAAATATATATTTGATAAAATTCAAAACATCCTACATATTGGACACTCCAACATACTTTAAAATGCCTATATGAACTTGCACAATATATCATAAAGATGATTAAAAGGGCATACGGTACATATTGTATCCAATCCATTTTTATTTTTTTGTAACCATGATTATTTGGGTATTTGGATTAGTCTCGGTTCCCAATTTTTGAAGCTTAAAAGAGTTTTTAATCCAGTATCGATCCTTTGAAGTCCCTAAATTTGTATTATTAGGGTCGTGAAGTACTGCAATAATAAGGTCATAATCGGTTTGTGAAATGGTTTTACAACGTCTATTTAAAGTTTTTCCTTCAAGATATTTATTGACCAGGTCATTAAAAACTTGTTTTTGAAATAAAAGGATATTTTTTTTTGGGTTGACATTTTGGGATAAGAATCTTTGCAAAATAATAATAAATACAATTTAATTGCATTAAATATATTTCATGATTACTAATACGATCACTTTAAAATCACTTTAAATATACAGTAATTTGTAATTGCTTGGTTGTATAAAATTCTATTCCCACTTAAGTATTTTTAAAATCCGAAATCAACTTAAGTTGATTCTGAATCTACAAATACAGAAATATTCAGTAACCATCTACAACATTAATATGGGAAATATGATGTCGTCTAGTCAAGGTAATATTAATATTGGGCAAATCGATGATATAAATAACTAGAGGGTAACATTTGCTTTGCTTTAGGTATTATACGGAACATATATTAAAAGTTTGTTATACAATATTATATTTAAAAAACATGGTATATTAACTTTATATCTTAGCCAATATAACCGTTAAATATATTTTAGCTCATATTATTAATTTATTAAGCCTTTTACTGCAAAAATGACCCTTAATATAATAACAAAAGAAATTGCAATACCAATATTGCAATAGATTAATTTCCGGAGCAGAGCGGAGGAACT